TGTCGTGAGTCCATATCATAAATTTTTAACAATGAAAAAAAAAACTATTATTGGCCCCCTACTTATATTCCACCCAACATTATTACCAAGTTGTCCGCTACTATGCTTAATATTGTTAACAACACCACCACGACATAGTCCAAGCTACTACTTCTCATTATTTGCTCATATCAACCAATTTTATCCCTATTTGTTCTTTCAACCACTACTCTCATACACAAACCCCATATGCAAATTATCATATATTTTACAAGCAACTTGGTTAGTACCTCCACGACCATTAACACATTAGAAAGGAATGTTTACCAAGACTTACCCCTGCTATAATCTGTCCCAAGCCCTTACGAGTATTCACACATGCAACAAACATTAGAGAGTGGACTTAATACACCAAAAAAATATAATACATTGAACTTCAAGGAGAAGTAAAAGAATTAGATATATTGTCTTTAAAAATAGTAGTTGAATTTTTTATTTTAATGTATTGCATTATGCATGTTTAATCCATTTGAACAAGCAACAAATAAATGTAAGATATTTTACAAGAAAATTTATGCTCCTCATATATCGTGAAAGAATATTCCTCTTAAAGTTTGCAATATGTGGTTTCATGCATTTAAGATAATATTTTCATGATTTTTATTTAAAAAATTTATTACTTAAAAATAATAATATATTATTTTATGCTTCACGAAAGAGCTTCAATTGTCTATCTCAACATCATAATCAAATGAGAAGAAACTTTGGGCGATACGACCCAACTTGTGTATATGATATATTCAAGGATAATAAGAAATCTGAAAAGAGGCCTATGTGGATGCGGTAAAGAGTGTGATTTGATTTATGCGTAGTGTTAAGAAAGCCTCAAATATGCTTAAAAGGATGAAGAAATTATAAACAAAGATAAAAGTGCAAAAATGGTACTCTCAACTATTCGCAGAGGGGCTATTTTAGTCCCGAACTATGAAATGATCCCCCAACTCTTTTAATCCGTGTTGCAATAATCCAACTACTAAAACTAATGGAAATTGATATTTAGTGTGTTAAAAATAAGGATATTCTTGGAATTTATATTTTTATTTTGATTTTTCAATAATTTTAATTCATCAATAACTTTATTTTAATTCTATTGTAATTAAATTTAAGAACTACTTTTTGTGAATAAATGTTAAAATTTTAAATTTATATATTGATTTATTACTCTTTTAAATAATTAAAATATAATTTTTACAATAAATATACAATAATGAGCAACATGCATAACAATTTTATTCTTTTGCAAAATAAGATTTTAGCCAATTAAAATTTATTAAATCAAGTAATCCTATATATATATATATATATTATATATCTTGCAACAATTTAAAAATATATTTTAGTCTTTTGAAAAAAAATACTAAAATCAATATATAAATTTAAATTTTAATATCTTATAACAAAAACTAAAATTTCATAAATCATTATAATGGAATTAAAATAAGGTTTGTAATGAATTAGATTTACTAAAAAATAAAAAATAAAAAATAAAAATGTACATTCCTAGATTACCCCCATTTTTAAAACTCTAAACATCAATTTCTGTTAATTTTAACTACGAGATAGTTTCAACACCTATTAAAAGAGTTGGGGGACCATTTTAGCACTGGGACTAAAATGACTTGCTACAAATAGCGAGAAGAAATATTTTGTTATTTTTTCAAATGCTAGGGCTAAAATGGTCCCCTTCAAATAGTCAGGAAACCATTTGGCACTTTTCTCAAACAACAAACCAACTTCTAAGTGTGAAAACATTAGTGTTTTCCTCCACAATAATGGCTCAATTTCACACATTGAGCATCGGAAGTAAAATGGTATTAATTAACTCATATATATTTGCCTTAGGTGGGTACCCCCATGTAGTTCCACCAAATTAAGGTCTTCATGTAGCATCTTGATATTTTCGAAGTACCTATAAATTTAATGTATACATACATACATACATACATACATATATGTATGTATACATTAAATTTATAGGTACTTCGAAAATATCAAGATGCTACATGAAGACCTTAATTTGGTGGAACTACATGGGGGTACCCACCTAAGGCAAATAGGATAAAGGTGGGTTGATAGTAGATAACCAACGAGTTTGTGAGTATGAATATTTTATATTAAAAAATATTAATTAATTATTATTATGTAAGTCTCATGAATATTAATCTTTTGTAAAATGAGTACATGTGCCTCAAACATATAAAAAGTCCGAGCTCTATAAAAGAAGGGTTTTAGAAGAACCATTTCAACAGTTAAATTTTTGAATTGATGGCTAATCAAAAGAAAGAAAGAAAAAAGGAAAGCCAAAAACACACGATAATGGGAAGAGGTATAGACAAGTAGACAACAAAAAAGGGGTAATGAAGAGAAAGAATGAGTGAGAAAGAAGAGAGTAAACAAATTAAATTTTACATTTTAGTTTAAATAAATATTGTTTAATATCTAAATTATTATGTTATAGTATAATTGCATGATTATTAATATAAGATGTGTGGATGTGGTTTTACAAATTGTGTGATATGCTATTGACGATTGAACTCTCAGGAATGGTATTGCCAGTGTTTTTTTTAAGGATAATGCCATTATTTTTTTAACGACAGTGTTGTAATTTTTTTAAATATTTGCTCCAAGTTTTCAATTAATTAGAGGCAAGAAAATTTTGGCAAAATGTTCAAGAAAAATCTAATAAGATTTTATGGAAATTTTAACTATAGTTTTATTACAAATTGCAATGGCTTAATTCTAGTCGATGTGAGGACGCATCCGGGTCAAGTCATTTTAAATGAAATAACAATCACAAAAAAGAGGTAGATTTTGGATCAGTAAAAAGTGTATCAGATAAGGTTTCACCTATGGATTATTTCTAGCAAATTTTTCTAAAATTTAAGTAAATGTTTTTGCCATAAAGTGAGTATTTTACTGTGGAGGAATTCCAACATATGGCTCCTTGATAGTGGAGCATCTCATAATGTTATTGTTGGCTTGGAAACTCTCACTCTTCACTCCTCATACATAAACTATGAGGACATCATTTGAAGATGGCTTAGTTTTCTCCACTACTCACAAAAGGACCACCTCACCATGAAAAATGTTGTGTTCCTAGAATGAAAAATAGCCTCCTCTCTATTTCTGAATAATATGCTAATAACAATGCCTCTATTGAATTTTTATCCACTTCTGTACAAGTGAAGGATCTGAGCAAAAGAGCACAACTTCTGAAAAACAAAAATGAAGATGGTATTTATGCTATATCTAAGAGTATTCCAAGTCTAAATCAAGTATCATGACCACCTTTTTCTTGTATTAAGACAACATTTTCAAGTGGTACAATCGTTTAACTCTACTCATTCTAAATTCTCAAGTAATAGCCTTAAATAACACATCAATTCTAATAAAATTCACAAGTTTTCTTTCTCTATATCAATAGTTTCCTCTTCACAATCACTAGAAATTACTTTTTAAAAAATTTGGACCTCTCCTCTACCTCAATTGATGGATTAAAATTTCATGTATACTTTTTATTACTTCACCAAATACAAGTCTATACCCTCTTACAAATATCCCAGGTCCTTGAAGTCTTCTCTAAGTTCAAACCACAAGTCAAGAACTTATTTCACCACAAATTATCACCTTTTACTCTGATAATGACAGTGAATGCCAAGCTCTCCATCACTTTCTCTCATCTTACAGAGTCCCCCACCTCATACCTCAAAATATAATGGGTATTTTGGCCGTCATTTTTGTCACATGGAAGAAACCTGTCCCTTTTTACCCACTCAAGCTCCCTTTCCAATGTTTGTAAGTCAAATACATTTACCATTACCGTTTGCATAATAAATATTATGCTAGCTCCCACGCTACACTCTAAGTCTCTCTCTGAATCTCTTTTTACCCGATCTCTGATTACTCCACAATCTGCATATTTAATATCCATCACTTAGTCCCAGCTAACCCCACAAACTACCTGCATGCTCACCATCTAGTGCCTTTATTGAGTAAAAACTAACCACATCTTCCTAGATTCTACCACCTCCGTAATATACATCTCTCAAAATGTCACATCATCACAAACATCTTACCCTTCAAATTTGCCACCATGTATCTCACTTATCCCTAACCTAAAACTCTACATTCATGAGTTTCTCTTGGGTCCTCTAGTTCTCCTTACTTCTTTGTTCCTCATGCGTCACTCTTAACAACACTAGTAATGCCTCCAGCTGCTCCTCCATTATCTGTCAATTTTTACCACCAGTTGACCAAATTACCTTCACTAACAAAGCCACACACTTTGAAATCAATTTGCTAACTTCTGGAAATCCATAGTTACCAAAATTTTCCTCCCATCAGCTCAACTATAAAACCCAAGCAAGATGTACCATCCCAAGCTCCAAACTACACCAACACTTCCATCCACCAACCCATTATTTGCTGAGCCAAGAAAATTCACAAATACACACAAAAACTAAACCTCCATGTCTAACTACGCTCCCTCAAGCTAATAAATACCTACCACCTAAGCCATTAAAAATTTCAAAAGACATCAGTGTATGCCTGAAATGTTTGATGACTTCGTTCACAATGATGTGTGGAAGCTTTCCCCTCTGCAACGATGAAAGATCTTGTTGGGTATCAATACTTAATACCTTCCAGATGATTTTATTGATAGGCAAAAATCACAAATTGTGGCAAAAGGCTTTGACCAATGCCCTTGAGTTGACTTCCATCACACATACTTGATAGTCAAACCACCTATCAACCGAACTGCTATTAGCATTGCAACTATATAGGTTGGTAACCTGATCAACTTGATGAGAAAACGTCCACAATTCATCAGAACCAGCAATATCAATTGGAGTTATACTTTGCATGTGTTCCTCTTTAAATCATAAGTTATCAAAATCCAACAAGACTAAAGAAGTGTTTTAAAGAGTCCATTATGTCCAAAATAGAATACAAGCCAATACCTTTGATGTGAGGCAGTATTTGGTCCGCTCGTTCCCAGGAAAGCTGTCCGATACCAGAAACTTGCCCTCACCCAGAATCCTTACTCCCTCCTCTGCGGTGTAGGATATCAGATCCCCCGAGCGCACAACCTTATCATAACAACAAATATAAAAATAAAAATCACATTTGATTGGAAAAAAAACTTTAACATTTTTGTCATGCAAAAAATACATTTTCTCCTTTCAATGTTTATGCATAATTGACATAAAAGACAACCACCAAGCAATCTAGTTCCAGAAAAGAATTAAAAAACAGATTCGAAGAACTAAAGAATTTGAGTAAACAAAATAAAAATTAACAAGAAGAAGTCTGAATTAAATAATAGAGCTTTTACATGATTTTATTCAAATAAATAAATATTAAATATTCTGGAAAATAAAGACAATCTAATGAAAAGAGAAAAGAAAGAATATTTCAGGAGTTTCAAAAACAGAACTAAAAAATGAAGACAAAAAGCGAAAATAACCATCAAATGAAATTATTAAGGTAAGAGAGTTTAATATGGGATTTTTGTTGTGCAAAATAATGTGGAAAACAAAAGCACGCAATAAATAAACAATCAAACATGGCGGGATTTACAAGGTTCAACGCAAATCCACCTACGTCGACGGAGAAAGGTTTTTCCACTGTTAATCGATGGAGATAAAGGAAAAAGACGGCCAAAATAGGGTTATAACACCACTGTTGACCTCATTTTTAGTGAGGTCTTGGTCTTCTACTCTTAGAACCTAAGATCTAGCCTTAGGAGTTTCTTGTTGACCATCCTAGCGGACTAGCAATGAAGCCACCTCCCGTAGAACTTCAAGCCACTTCTTGACTCATTTTTGTGAAGAACTCGCATGAGTGGTTCCAAGCACTCAACTTTTAGTTGCAAGGGCTAAGGACCAACATGTAGAGGGCCCGAAAA